GGTGGGGTTCAATGTAGACAAATGCAGGGTGCTGCACCTTGGGGGAAGGAATCCACAGCATACATACAGGCTGGGGAGTTCCCTTCTTGAAAAGACAGAGGCAGAAAGGGATCTTGGAGTCATTATTGACTCCAAGATGAACATGAGCCGCCAATGCCAGACTGCAGCCAGCAAGGCCAGCCATACCTTGTCATGCATCCAAAGGTGCATCTCAAGCTGGTCCAGAGAGGTGATCCTCCCCCTCTATGCGACTTTGGTCAGGCCGCAGTTGGAGTACTACGTCCAGTTCTGGGGGCCACACTTCAAAAGGGATGTGGCCAGCCTGGAGAGGGTTCAGAGGAGGGCTACCCACTTGGTGAGAGGGCAGCAGGACAGGCCCTATGAGAACAGATTGAGGGACCTGAACCTGTTCAGCCTCAGCAAGAGGAGGCTGAGGGGGGACCTGGTGGCTGCCTACAAACTCATCAGGGGAGATCAACAGCAAATAGCCCTTTTCTCCCTAGCACCACCTGGGGTGACAAGAAACAGTGGTCATAAGGTGTTGGAGAATAGGTTTAGGTTAGAGATCAGAAGGCAATATTTTACAGTTAGGGTGGCCAAAATCTGGAACCAACTTCCCAGGGAAGTGTTCCTCGCCCCTACCTTGGGCAAATTCAAGAGGAGGTTGGATGATCACCTGTCTGGGGTCTTGTGAACCCAGCATTCATTCCTGCCTGTGGCATGGGGTCAGGTTAGATGATCTGTTCAGGTCCCTCCTGACCCTAGCTACTATGATACTATGAAAGGGTGCAGAGAAGGGCCACGCGCATGATCAAGGGCCTGGGGGACAGGCTCTATGAGGAGAGACTTTAGGATCTGGTACTGTTCAGCCTGAGCAAAAGAAGGCTGAGAGGCGACTTGATAGCTGACTACAAATATGTCAACAGAGAACACCAGGACCTAGGTGAGCAACTTTTCAGAAAAGGTTCCCCCCCCGGAAGATGCGGACCAATGGACACAAGCTAGTTGAGGAAAAGTTTTGGCTGGACATAAGGAAAAACTTATTTTCTGTATGAGTCACTAAAATCTGGAACACACTTCTGGCAGAGGTGGTGCAGTCACCATCTCTGGTGGTTTTGAAGAGGAGGCTGGACAAATACCTCGTTGAGCTCATTTGAGCCCATTTACCTCCTACCCATGGCAGGGGACTGGACTTGATGATCTTATAGGTCCCTTCTGGTCCTTCTTTCTATGATTCTAAGGTTACTGAAAAAATGTCAGCTAGTCTTTAAGGCAGGGGTGGGAAAAATACGGCCTGTGTGCTAGATCTGGCCCAACTTATTCAATCCAATCCATGGGCAGGCACCCACCAATTGATTACATCTAGCCTGTGGCTGCCCTGAGTCTCTCTGCATGGGGCCAAGTCCTCTCTGTGGTCGCCCATGGCCCTGGCTAGTGCACACAGCTTCCCGGTGGGGCTGCTTCCAGTGCAGCTGCAGCTGCCCAGGTACTGCTCGGCTTCCCTGTCCCCTCCCCCCACAGCGATAACGATCACTCCTGCCCCTGCTGCACTGTTCCAGGCAGCAGGTAGCATGGGGAAGCCCTGGGGACATATGCTAGGCAGCAGATGCCCAGTCAGGTGGGCGGGAAACTGCAGCCTGGTGTCTCCTGCCCCACCATGCAGGACTCCAACTCCAGCTTCCTGCCGCCTTCCACCCGTTCAGGCTGCTCGCAGGTGGCTGCTCATCATGCTGTGTGGCCAAGTGGATGAAAAGTGCTTGGGAGCTAGAGCTGGAGCCCTGCATGCTGGGGCAGGAGCTGCTTGGCTGCAGCTTCCTCCCTGCCTGTCTGGGCATGTGGTGCCCAGCATGCGTCCCCACAGCTTCCCTGCATTACCTGCTTCCCGGAGTGGTGCAGCAGGAGGAGGAGGTGCTGCTGGAAGCAGGGGGAACAGAGCAGTACCCAGGCGGCTGTGGCCCCCCTGGGAATCTGTGCATACTGGCCAGGGCTGGGGCAGTGGTATCTGGCAGGTGTGGGCAGGAGCAAATGGGGATCAGCCCCATGTGGAGTGTCATAGGGGGCGGGGGGGAAGGAGGGGGAGGCGGACTTTGCCTGCACTGGACTGTCTGGGCGAGCTTTGCTGCATGTTCCCCCTGCCGTCTTCCCCCCAGGACCTACCATGTGGGCAGCCCTCCACATGCCCCCACACACAATATACAAGAATAAGACTTTTTTCGCTATTACACAATAATTGCCTCGAGATATGATACTCAAAAAAACATCAATCAGGGCAAAATTATTTTTTGAAATAAAATTAAAGTATGTTTGAGTAGATTTTGATTTTTAGTATACAGTTTGTTTTTTATCTATAATTTGTTAAAAGGACATCTTCTGAAGAAATTTGTGTGGGGCCCTCAACAGCTCACCAAAACTCATTAAGTGGACTGCCAGCCAAAATAATTGCCAACCACCGTTTTCCCAGGTGACTCACAAATCTGGTATGCAGTCTCTGGGAAATTTCACTTGGGGTTTTGGGTTGCTTCTCAGAGCAGAAATACACTTTAAAAATGCCAGCAACTTGTCATCCCAATTGCAGAATAGAATAAGACAAATTGGTATGTGCAGAAGTTAACACCAGTTCATTTACTTTCACTTCTAAAAGTAGAAAGTCTCTGAAATTTAAAGCACGTGTTCTTTCTTTCTACCCCATTCCTGGAAGGCAGAGAACTGTATTTTTTTAGGATCCATGTTAATGGAACAAACACACTTTCTTTTTACGTAGCAAACGCATTTATGGACCTATTTAGTGTAAAAATACAGATCAATATGATACAACTTGATAATCTTGTGGTTCCTTTATAAACACAGCTCAAAAAGAAATACCAGCTAACCAATAAGCAATTGTCCGTACCTTGCTGTTTCTTTTTAACACTATCTCATTACATTTCTTGGGATTTTTTTCTCCCTTTCACCCCCTCCCATGTGTTCAGGTCAAAAAGTCCTCCAGCGTGATCCTTTGGGTGAGAGCAATAGTAGTCTAGACCTTAGTCTTTTTGTAGTGAAGCATCCAGTGCTGTTGCTATTTAGTGCTTATCAGATCTGAATCTTGCTTTATCCTCTCCTGGCACCCCTTCTAAACATGCATCCTTAGAGTTGTGCCATGGGCTGCATTTACAAGGCTGCATTTGAAACTAGCAACATGATGTTCTGACAATGGCATCTCAATTTTGCATGCTGTTCCCATCCTAAAATTGTTGCCAGCACCCCTAATCCTGAAAAAAGTCTGTCTTCTAATGAAAAAGGAAAATAAAAGAGACATTTATTGACTAATCTTAGCTGATAAGATATGTAAAGTTCATTGAAGACCATGACTTCTTGCTTCATGATAAGTTGGGGGGTGATTTAGCTGAATCTACAAAAAGGTGCATGTGAATATCAGTGTTCAAATCTGATCTTGTAGAGCAGCTGATAACCGATCTGCTGTGCAGTGCTTCTGTTCTGTGTCTATGTGTGGGTTTTGGAAGCTTTAGTATCCTGCGGCCCAAGAAACCTAATTTTTCGTTTTTACTGCCCTGAGTTTTAAATTCAAACATTTCAGAAGTGTGATGGTTGGTGAGGATCTGCTACTGCTGTATTTCACCAAGCAATGCTTTACCCAGCACCAAGCAATGGTTGTGCCAAATTGACCTTGTTAGTTCAGCAACATGCTTTATTTTCTCCCTTTAGACTAGTATAGGAATGTGGCAGCCAGCTTTGCTTTCCCTGCATGGCTGGTGAGTGATGAACTGGCACTGTTTTGCTTGCAAAGTAGAATTCTAGTTTAAGGAATTTTCTCTGTACCAGGATGGAATTCGAGCACTTAGGAAGGTAAACGAGCTTCTGCAGTCCATGGAAATGCTGGAGAATGCTGTTTTTTAGTTTCTTCTACCAGTTTCTGTCTCTTCAGAACTCTTCTTAGTAACTTGCAGACTCTTATTGGGGTACTGTACCTGACTGCATGCAGCTTGTACATGGGCTTTGTGCCTAAAGTTTTAGGAATACTCAATACAATTCTACAATAGACATATTTTTTTATTTGATTGAAAACAAGTCCAATGACATACAGCTATAGACTCTAGTGAATCATGTCCAAGAAGCTTACCAACCTTGGAGCCCTTGCTGCCCTTAGTACATTGAGCTTTCTTTTGTCAATACAGGCAGTACAGTCTTGACACATCCTTCAGCTTTGGGGTGTGCTACATAACTGATGCAGGTTACAAGGCAGAATATGAGGCAGATGCTTGAAGTTCAAGTATTTCAAGAGCTATAGCTAGTCTCTGGTAGCTTGTGTCATCAGTTACTAATTGCTTGATGTAGCTGTTAGCAACTGATCAGGTCAGGATGTAGATTTTTTTCTTGTTTCGGAGAAGAAAAACAAAACCCTTTATATTTCTGTGGGTCCCAGAATTATGTAAGCTATTGCTGCATAAAGATTTTTTTTCCTCAAACAGAACAACAAGAGCTATCACATACATGCAAGGTGCGCTGAGCTCTTTAACAGGACTGCTGTTGATCTGATATGAAGCTGTGCTGCTTGGATACTCGTAAAGGTATCACTTATCTGGTACTGACCCAGTTTTATGGGACCCAGGAGGAAGAAGGCAGACAGCACAATGCTGAGGCACTGAAGAAAGGCACACAACAAATAAAGTGCATTGGTACTGACGGATTATTCGTGCAAATACTAAGTATGTGTCGGTGTTCTAGGTAAAGAACCTGGAACAAGAATCTTTGCCTTCTAGCTGGAAGTTGCAGGGCTGTGGAGCCCACCAGCCCAAGCTATAAACATCAAGGGGAAAAAGCAGTTGAGTCACTCACCTTTGCCCTTCTCAGTCTGACTGTGACCTTCCACAACACATCTTTCTCACCCTCAGTGGTTCAGTTAGTGACCTGTAACACTAACTCCAGTTTAGATCCAGCATTTGACATTACCCCACACATGCACATCTCAGTTCTGTTGCATGTACTCAACAGTGACTTGATTGAAAATGGTGGCTATGAGTTCAGATGTCATTCCTCTCTACTTGTGCAAAGCTGTGTACAGTGAAGTCTGTTAAAGTCGCACACACTGTACATTCCTCATGAAAACACAGGTATCAGCTAGTGAATGTGGTCGGGGTAGTCGCACACTGGTCATTCAAGATGAGTGAAAAATGGTGAGCTGTGAGTAGTGCAAGTGGAGGTCTGTGATTTGTTGTTTTTTGTATTTAACATGAGAGATTTAGGCCTGATCCATAGTCATCTTATAGAAAATAGTGGAGAAATGGTAGGCTTATGGCACTGGAGATGCTATGGAAGTAAAACCTAGCTGAGATGGAGTGAATTAAGTTGGCTAAAACATTTAACATACAGGAGTGCTAAGCAGCAGAAAGATAAGGTGTCTTTTTACTAAGCACCAAAACATCTAAGTCATGTAGGAGGACTCCTGCAAAAGTAGAGGATAAATAGCATCTCTGATCTTTCAGAAGTAAAAAGTAGAACAGAATATGGGGACATGGGCATCTTGAAGGAAGATGAGGTATGCCTCATGGAGCAGAGTTGACATATATACCAAAATGCTTTGCTGAAGACTATCAAGTTTGGAAGCCAGTGTAACCCCCTGTGACTAGAGGTGCACCAATACATCAGTCCTATATTGGATCGGCACCGATATAAAGAAAATTGTCTATATCGGAAATTGGCCTGATGTGGCCAATAAATAACCTGTGCATGTATGCAGCCGTAGCGCAGCATGTAGGCAGTGAGAAGCACAGCCGGCAGTATGGAGAGTTACGTGCAACTAGTAAGTTTGTTATGGTGGAAGGGAAGGGGGCATGGGGGAGCAGATCAAGGCCCCCATGGTAAAGAGTGTGTGTGGCTGGGGTAGGCACTGCCCATCTGGGGCAGGGGGTTGCGGGATGGAGCCGTGGCTTGTCTGGGGGGGCGCCATTGTACACCGCTCATTCGACAACTCAGCTGCTCATCCGGCAGTTCCTGCTGCTGCTCCTGCCGCTCGTCCGGGAGGGCATGGGTGGGGGGGGTGTGCCCCCAGATCTGCGCAGGATGGACAGCAGTGCTGGGAGGGGGGCTATGGGGTGGCTATGGCGATTTTTGGGGTGGCTGTAGCCCTCCCCCATAGTCCCCTTCCATCGCTGCCAGCTGCCTAGCATTGCCCTGGTGCCAGCCCCAGCCCGCAGGCGCCGCCCGCCCCACCCCAGATGAGTGAAAAATGGTGAGCTGTGAGTAGTGCAAGTGGAGGTCTGTGATTTGTTGTTTTTTGTATTTAACATGAGAGATTTAGGCCTGATCCATAGTCATCTTATAGAAAATAGTGGAGAAATGGTAGGCTTATGGCACTGGAGATGCTATGGAAGTAAAACCTAGCTGAGATGGAGTGAATTAAGTTGGCTAAAACATTTAACATACAGGAGTGCTAAGCAGCAGAAAGATAAGGTGTCTTTTTACTAAGCACCAAAACATCTAAGTCATGTAGGAGGACTCCTGCAAAAGTAGAGGATAAATAGCATCTCTGATCTTTCAGAAGTAAAAAGTAGAACAGAATATGGGGACATGGGCATCTTGAAGGAAGATGAGGTATGCCTCATGGAGCAGAGTTGACATATATACCAAAATGCTTTGCTGAAGACTATCAAGTTTGGAAGCCAGTGTAACCCCCTGTGACTAGAGGTGCACCAATACATCAGTCCTATATTGGATCGGCACCGATATAAAGAAAATTGTCTATATCGGAAATTGGCCTGATGTGGCCAATAAATAACCTGTGCATGTATGCAGCCGTAGCGCAGCATGTAGGCAGTGAGAAGCACAGCCGGCAGTATGGAGAGTTACGTGCAACTAGTAAGTTTGTTATGGTGGAAGGGAAGGGGGCATGGGGGAGCAGATCAAGGCCCCCATGGTAAAGAGTGTGTGTGGCTGGGGTAGGCACTGCCCATCTGGGGCAGGGGGTTGCGGGATGGAGCCGTGGCTTGTCTGGGGGGGCGCCATTGTACACCGCTCATTCGACAACTCAGCTGCTCATCCGGCAGTTCCTGCTGCTGCTCCTGCCGCTCGTCCGGGAGGGCATGGGTGGGGGGGGTGTGCCCCCAGATCTGCGCAGGATGGACAGCAGTGCTGGGAGGGGGGCTATGGGGTGGCTATGGCGATTTTTGGGGTGGCTGTAGCCCTCCCCCATAGTCCCCTTCCATCGCTGCCAGCTGCCTAGCATTGCCCTGGTGCCAGCCCCAGCCCGCAGGTGCAGCCTGCCCCACCCATGCCCCACGCAAAGCTAGGGCACAGCCCCCCTGCCATGCCCTCCTGGGGTGTGCGCAGCAGTGAGAGCTGGGCAGTTCCTGCCCCAACCTCAGCCCCATTTCTTTCCTCACCACAGGGGTCTTGATCTGCCTCCCCCCTCCCCTTTCCTCCCCCCTCCCCTTCTACCACAATAGACTTACCAGCTGCATGCAGCTGTATTGGAAATCAGATCAGTGATGGCTGATATGCCTCCTTAAAAATCGGCTATCGGCCCTGAAAATCTCTGTCGGTGCACCCCTACCTGTGACTCTTGCATAACTCATGTTCACCTCTCAGCAGCATTACACAGCATGTGGCACCGGTTCTGTTCTTCAGAATGTATCCCCGTCTCTCAATTTTGTGGTTTGTACTAATTAGCTACCAGCTATCAGATGAGAAGGTTGGTTAGTTACCATTCTGCTGTGTGCAGTTTGAGATGGCAGGAAGCAATAGAAACAACTGAAGCTTTCTAATTAATAAGGGAACTTCCCTTAAAAAAAATATGACTTTTGTAACAGCTAAAACTATTTCAATAGTCTAATATTAGAAATGTCTTAAGGGGTGCTTTCTATGTAGTGCCACTTTGAGTATAAACACTTATGGATTAACATTTTGTGGTAAACTTTAAGAGTTCATGAAAGACACAGTTATTTCCTCAAAAGATTCTGGACTGAAAAAGCTGCTCTGCTTTGGTTTCACAGGAGAAGCACTATTATGTTTTTGCAGCCTCCAAGGATAGCATGTATTGTATAATCACTCTTTTATCCTTGACCTACACAAAGAAAAAATACAACACATTTTTTCCCTTTGCTTCACATGTAACATGTGCCAAAATGTTTGTTTTACAAGCAGTCACTCCATACTTTTCAGATGAATTAAAGACTGAGAATAAAATGGCTATAAAAGCATTTAATTTCCTAGCTGTGTGGCTGGCAACAGACACTCTTTAAAAGTCAACAGCAATGAGTTGCAGGAGCATTCAAACCGTCAGAATAGGTTCTGTTCAGGATCAGCTGAACTCCTGTAAATTTTAATGAAGAGTTGCAAATCTTTCCTCTCTCATTCAGTACCTTTTTGATTAGGAGCATCTGGAGTGAGGTTAGTTCAGAACACTTATAAAAAAAATAACTCTTTTTAACATCTGGAACAATCCCAATATCTACAAAGTAATGTAAGAGCACTCACAAGAGTTGACAGTAATGTTTAGTCTGCAGTGTGCCTCAGCTTGACTCTATGAACAAATGTGAAGAGCTGTGGGTATGTCTACACTGCTGCATAGTGTAGTTCCCCAAGATAGCTTTAAGTAAGAATCCAGCTGAATTGGCTCACATGATGCTGCCAGCTGCCAGGGCTAGACTGACTGCAGTATCTGAGCCTGCTCATTTATTAGTAGCTGCTGACAGATGTTCAGTTAAAGGCATGATGGGATCAGATCTGCGATCCTAACAGTTGTGCTTCCTGCCATGCCACACGTGTATGACAGGAGGTGGGATTGCAGATCAGATTGCTGGTGCCAGGAGAGAGGGGTGGGGATTAAGATTAACTGGTTATTCACCTTTTAAGTGTAATGTCTACCAGGGGCCAGAGACATAAGTCCAGCTTTATACCACAATGCATTCTGTAGTGTAGACATACCTTGTGCTTTAGCTAGTGTTTCCCCAGGTGTGGGTTGCATTTCCTGGGGGAGAGCAGGGGGAGCTAGAGGGCAGAAGACAGTTTTTTTAATGCGTTTCCACTAGAATGTTTTATTTGATTAAATTGCTTCTCCTTTAGCTAACTGCTTGCCTGTGCTACTTGAGGCAGTTCACAGATGTGTGTAGAGTGTCTAGATTAGCATGCACAAATATATTCACTACCTGGAATGACGCAGCAATCTGGTAATTTTAGTTAAATTCTTCTGTAGATAAATGCCCATTTGTTCTGCAGTCTCTTTTTTTTTTTTTTTTAAGGAAAAAGGGGGGGCCTCTAGTTGCTGTGATTGCACACTATAAAATGGAGAAACGTGACTGCCATGGAAATGGTGCAATCTGAATTTGCAGAGAGCCTGAAACAATAGTGCCGACAAGTGAAGTAGCTCATTCATTTTAATCCCATGTCATTAGTACTTTTATATGCTAGCATTATAACTTGTTTCAATGCTCATCAAAACTGTTAGAAATGAAAGGAAGTATTGTAATGTGCACTTCTCACTAACTTATGACCAATCATTTTGTTGCCCTGAGTAAATAGATTTGGGAGTAATTAGCTGCTCCCTCCGTCTTGCAAATCAAACACAGGAAGGCAACTTAATTTTGCTGAGAAAAAATCATGTCTAAAGATCCTTGCAGAACCCAGGGAAGTAAGAGATCTTATTAGGGACAAATAATAATATTGCCATTTCATAGAATGGAGAAAGCTGTTTTAGTTTGCAGTCAGGCAGAAGGCAGAGTAGAGGTGCACCTTATAGACTAATTGAGTTGAATTGAAGATGCATAAGCTTTTGTGAGCAACAGCTCCTTTCATCAGAAAGCTTATGCATCCCTGGTTCAGGTAGTCTATAGCAGTGGTTCTCAACCTTTTTTGTACCAAGATCCATTTGTAAACATCAATGGCCAGTCCCAACCCAGTGCCCCTCACTCCCAACCTGCTGTCCCCCACCCCCAGGCCCCAGCCCCACAATGTGTGAGGCAGGGGGTGTGTTTGCTGGTTTAAATCCTTGGGCAGTAGGACCTGTGAATGCCCCAATTTTTTTTTTAACCCATCCAAACACAAAAGTACCATTATTTTGATTTGCCTCGGTGTCAAATCAGGGCCCTGTTCCTACAGTACAAGAGACCCTCAGTATTTCCTGCATAATAGTGATAAGCAGACGGTATGGGAGGGTGGCATCCTAGAAACTGACTGGCTTGGAAAGACATGAGCTTGTATAGACAACAACCTACTTTGTTGGATGCTAGGAATGGATTGCTTTGCAGTCCACTTTATTTGGCTGGATGTGATTCCTTCCATGAGCAGGGAGGTCATTATTTGTGTTAGTTTGAGGTCAACAGTGATAAGGGATATAATTGTGACTGGTTTGCAGCAGACTTGCTGCTTTTCCTGATGCTTTTCCTAGTGTCCACCTGCACGATTGCAAATAAAAACGCTAACCGTACATCACAGGTTTCTTGCCATTTGTTTCCTACGTTTGAGAGAGATGTTCCCCACTCCCTAGTGGGGGCTTGAAATACTGACAAAAATGTGAATTTGCAGTAGCTATCTTGAATTCCAGTATGACGGTTACACATAGTACTTACCAGTTTGGCAATATGACTTTTCTGACGTGGGTAGACCATGTCTATCTGAAACACACTGTTGCTGCTTGTGGCAATGAGTTACCAGGTGACACCTTTACCCTTTGTTTTTACCCTACTAGAGAATATAGAGCTAAGTGCCAGCAGAATTAATGTGCTGTTTCTCACACACTTTAGCTGAGCACTTCCTGGCTTAGTATGCAATACTAGCATTCCTTTTAGGAAATGTGCAGTAATCCTTAACAATTTTTTTGAAAGACTTATTAAAATAAGCCA